ATAGATTCAATATCCAGGAAACATATAGCTGACTTTTTAATGTTACATTTAACCCACAGATTCGGCTGAATTTCAATTGGTTTTATATAATATGTACATCTCACAATCAGGAAAATTTCCAAAATTCCGGAAAAAACGTGGAACAAAACCGATTAATTTTTATTCGAGATTTGTTGGTATTCTATCCTACATAAAACGTATATTAATCAGTTAGCACCATGAGTTAAATTTCATTTAAAGGAAATGAGATATAGCACATCGAGGTATGGAGATTTGTCTGTAGCCACTTTAACCAAGGTTGTAGTGCTTTGTGACTTGTCCAGGGATGAGATTCAAACCAAAGACATCATGAGATGTCGTTGATGCATTGATTCTTGACCCTGTCCAAATTTGATATTTCGTAAAGCAGGTTTACTAACATCAAAATATTCTACTCTGATTTGAAATACTCGTCCAAAATCACCAGAAAAATAATCTAAAACTTTAAGTTAGCTAGTTAGTTTTCTTCATTAAAGAGGCTTTCAACCATTGGGTAATATTCAAGATCATCATACTCAATAACTCATGAATAATGAATGTTTTGAAACAGGTTGGAAAATGTTTGTGTTCCTGAATAAGAAATATTGCATTTTCCGATTTCGTTTAAGAAGCTCAATTTTTCATTATAGGATTAAGAGGGGAATTATGAGCATCTTGCACTCCTGTCCCAAATCTCTAATTTTTCGAAAAATAATAAATTGGGAGCAGGTTCAATATCAGCATTGCAATGATTAATGACCAATTAATTTGTTTCGATTCATAAGAAATCCGAGGCTAAAGCACAGGAGTCTCACTATGCCCTCCTTCCTCTATATTTTTATAAGACTAACAATTGACCAATTCCAGGCCAAATAGGGTAAACAAAATAAAATTAAGACTCGACTTTCTCCGATTTGCATGAAACTTCACATAATTATGTGTAATGATCAATCATTCGCATTCTTGCACAAATTTGGCCATTTTAGATCTTTTTTTTTCAGTATGGCGTCATTGACATTTTTCAATAAATTGTAGCACGAAAACATCAGTTTTGATTGAAATTACTTCTGAGTAAAGTTGTTAAGAAAAGTAAAGTAATCCTCGGAAAATTTTGCACGGTAATTTGTAATTAATAATTTTGAGAAACAGTTAAAAAAAGTGTTAAAACTGAATTATTTTCAATATTTATAATTTATTTTCTAAATAAATGTCATTAGAATTAAACTTTAGAATATTCCAAACCATGGATACCTTATTGTTTATTAATTTATTTGATACGGCTCAAACGAATTAACTTAACAGACCCGAGGATTCTTGGTCACTATACAATACATCTTAAAACTATAGTCAAAAGGTGCAACACAATAAACACTTTATCTTCCGCTATCGAAAAAGGCTCCTCCTTCAGAACTGGAGCCGCTTCCAGTGGTTTCATTGTATGGCAGTTACGCCATTGAGGGGCAGAGCGCTTCCATTGCAGCAAGTGTCCAAAGTCGACGACGCATCGACCGAAAGAACTGCTGAAAAAGAACAATGAGGAGGACCACACAATGGCTGCTGCCGAGAAAACAGACGAGTGGCCTGCTTTTGTCGACAGCCGAGTGAACACTAAACCATGGATACCTGAAAATTGACAAAAACCGTAGAACATCAAATTTTGTTTAAATTTTTAAACTCCTTTTTAACAAGTTTTTTATTTAGTTTTTGCATAGATAACGATTAGAAATGTCTCAAATATTGTTTCCTGTACTAGATTACTTGCAAAAAAATTCAAATATCTGTTCTTGTTCAACGATTTTTTTTTCAATATAAAGTTTTATATACTTCAAAAATTTGCATTTTTATGGACTTTCTTAAAAAAATGAAGGTGTACTTCTGGAGGCGAACCAGCCCAAGGCTGAAAGCCTCCTTAATAAAGCTAAATAATAATAATAAGATGTACTTCTTGAGACATTTGAGTTTTTAACATTTTTTTCTGAATTTTTACTCAAAATTACTAAAAACAAATACCATGTATATTTTTTTTCCAAAACTACTTCATTTTTCTCTATAACTTTGTCTCAGACGTCATTCCGATTAGAAATGACGTTTTCGTGCTACAATTCATTGAAAAATTACAAAGTCGCCATTTTTAAAAAATTACGATTTCAAAAAATGGCCGAATTTTTGTAAAAATGTGCATGATTGCCCATAGCATACAATTATGGAAAGTGTTATGCAAATCGGAGAAGGTCGGATTTTTCCGATTCGTCAGTTGGCGTGGAACTGCTCAAATGTGATATCACATTTGAGCTTAGTCCCCCTCCCCCATGTGTCACAAATTGTCACGTTTCTTTGAGCCCTCTCGCTCCCTATAAATTTGTGACGTATCTTATGAAAGTGCCCATAATTTTCCATTCAATAACTTAAGTAGAATTGTGGGAACTTTTAACATAAACCAGTGATGGCATAATCTTCACTCAAATGATTTTGTTTCGCTCTCAAGGGCTCCCAATATCACGCGAGATATTGGAATAAAATATCAAGCATGATATTGATTTTATAAGCTCCTTTGATATTGCGAGACTATTAAGAACATGTAATATTGTAGCTACGAGTTGACTTACCACAACAATGATTCCGCTGCACATCGTATTCTTAGAAAGAGAAAGCATAGTTTGCTATCTCTCTTTGCTCTTCACAGATGGCAGACACGAAGCTACTGCTGCCGGCAGTGATGGAAGTTTCGGTTCGTGTTCGGGTGTACATCAAAAATTTTGAAACTCAAACTCACCAGTTTGGTGAGAATCGTAGCTGGTGAGTTTTGTTAGCATGATGACAGAGCAACCGTATCACAGCTTTTAATATCATCCGCTGTTATCTGCTTGTTGATTTTTGTTTACGATACTCAAATGAGATTATGCCCATTTACGAGATTTGATCTTTTGATATTTTATCAACACTGACATAAACTTTGAAATTCTGGGAAGTCTAGAGAACATTAAAGAAGTTCAGATATCTGTCGGGCAGTTTCAATAACATCTGGAATATAAGTTAAGCATCAGAAAGTTTTAAGATGTTGCAGAATAAGTTTTGATCATTCAAGGGCAGTTCCATGAGCTTTAGGACATGTTCGAGAATATAATTCGTAATCTAAGAGCTGCATTAATCAACTCACATTGATTTCATAAACCTTATAGAAATTCCGAAAGTTTAGGAACGTCCAAAGACCTGCAGGGAAGATAAGAAATTAATGAAAAACTTCGAGAGCTTTACAGAAGTAGGGAGAACTTCAGAAAGCCTTCGGAAACTTCTTTGAAATCCATAAAACTTTAGGCAATATCCGAGAACCTCAGGTATAAGCTAATAACTTCAGTAGATTTTCATGGACGTTCCGTAAGCTTACGGGTAGTTTCGAGAACTATAGTAATTGGAACAAATTCTTCTTCTTATTCGAATTCTAAGCTAATTGCACAGCTTTCACAGTAATTAATTGAGAGCTTTCGATTCATGTACCATTTCTGTATTAGTATAATTGTGTGGCAAGTACAATCATACTCAAATCCCAGGGAAGTTGACAAATTTTCCAACCCGAAAAATTCCTAGACTTGATCGGGAATCGAACCCAGCCACCTCCAGCATGGTCTTGCTTTGTAGCTGCACCTTTACCGACTTGAGCTAAGGGAGGTAATCGGGACATAATGTTAGGAAAATCGCGTGAAATTTTTACAAGATGCCAAATTTTTAGGCAGTCAAAATTCAAAGTCAAAAGTCCAGATAAAGGCATATCTAGAAAACTTCAGAAATTTTTTGAGAACTTCAAAAAAGTTCAGATATTTCAAATGAAGCTTAGAGATTCCTAGAACAATTCCATGTAGTTCAGGGCAATACCAACAAGCTTGGTAGAGCCTCACTGGAACAAGCCGAGCTTAGCATTATTCTAAGGAGTAGAAACCTTCAACACAAATCATTCAACTGAGGCTCACAGTTTTTGGAAGATAAAATGAGAGTCAGGTACGTTGTTATTCATTTACATGTTTTTATTCTCACACTCATACTCTCACTCTGGTTGAACTCTGAGTTTCGTGTTGCGAAAACGAAAGTCATCCGGAGCCTTTCAAAGGACGTTTGTTTATGTCTTCCTTTTACCTACCACCACTTCTTTAGGTGAGGGCTAAACTAACTGGACCAGAGTATTTGCGAACCTCATGTGAGTTTGAGGAGTTTTATCAAGCCTGAGTACCAAGAGCTTCAGGAGAATTGCAAGCGAGGTTCCGAGAAGCTTGTGGAAGATCAGATAACAGTGCAGTGCAGTTCCATCAATTCCACAGAAATTACAGAAATTTTAAAGTCGTTTCGAAAACCCCTAGTACGACTGAAAATCTCCATGCTAAATTGGTTGAGTGGGACACGTTTCGTATTCGGGCGAATAACAAACGTATTGTTCCAAATTTGACTCATTTACTGATAAGCTGTCATCAGAAATACTCTATAAACTAGATAAACTATAGCATATTTTGGCTAGACGCGACCTAGAGTTTATGAAACTCATACATGTTTTCTTGAAGATTATTGACCTTAGATTTTAGTTTGATTAACCTTGTGATTAATTTTTAAATTTGTATTGTGTAAAATTTTTGCTTCTGTAAGAATTGAATAATGTCACCGCTGATATCAATTTAAACAGGATTAAGTTCATGTTTTAGGAAAAGTGAAATCATATTTCAAATCTCTTTCTACCTCTCCCCATAAAAAAAATGTCAATCTCCTCTAACCTCGAGACGACCAAGAGTATTTAATTCTAGATTTAAGACTTTAATCATGTATAATGCAAATGATAACTTGGCTATGCAAAGTTTACTCGAAAATCTAACTACTGTCAAAGAACGTTATAAGGACTGAAAGATTTTAAAGATCTGAAAAATAGCTGAGCTAATCTGATCCAAAATACAATTCTTGTTCTAATTCCGTTAACACTCAAATTCCCTCCACTTCCATTCCAGGTTCCGGAGCAGTGGCGCTGGCTCACCTCGATGGCAATGGTACCGATGAAGCCGTTTCAACGATGGTTGCCCGCGTTCAAGAACTGGCATTCGGTTACCCGGAGGGCCGAATCGAGCTCCAGCTGATAGGCGGATTCAAGGATACCCAAGGCTATGCGGAGGATCTGTTCAGCAACATTATGCGTAAGTATATTGCTGCTTTGAAGAGTATTATAAACAATTACCTGCCGATTACCACAAGATTGAATTTAGTCTTATAACTAAATCATTCATCGCCACAAACACTTTTCCCGTATATTCCACATCAAAACAACAACCCCTAAAGTGTCGACACCTATCTGAAGACACCTCTTGGCAATGCAATTCAAGGCTTTTGCACCGAGCTTTATTGATAATCATTTATGATTTCAATCCCCGGAGCACAACCATTCAACGAGATCCCCCCCTCCCCCTGCTCACCCATCACCGATTCAACCCATTCAAACGATGACCATCGTCATCGCATCGGTCGGCACCATAAACGAATCTCTACCCCGACGACGGCAGTGGCTCACCGGCGCACAAGTCATCGATATTGAAGAAAAGTGACTATTTCTAATTTGCAAAATATTCATAACTCCAAGGTGTGTGCGCTATTATGCTTTGTCGGTGTCCACCTTTTTGCAAACACTCACATGAAGGTACCTACGTACCGGGCACAATCCAAACCGGACTCCGCTTCCGAAGATTTATGGATAGGGAAATGGGGTTAGATACGAGCACTCTTTTATGAGACATTGAGCGAGAGAGAGAAAAAAACGAGGTAATCCATTCCCCTTGTTGCAAGGCGCCTTTCGCCGGTAAAATCAAAAATCATATTGCATCCGTATCCTCTAGATATTCCTGGAAGCATCCCCGGCATGAGTGCGGTCAAATTTTAATGATCATCACCCCCTCCTCTAGCCCGGGGCTCACACTCACTCACCTTTCGGCCATCGTGTAGCATTTCGAAAACAACCGAAAAAGGAAAATTAATCCAAATTGATGAAGCAGGATTAGATAACACCAAGACCCATTAGTCTTCCCATGCTCGGGGAAAGTGCTTACGGAAAACTCACATTCTCCTTACTACTACCCACCTCGATGAGGGAACATCGCCATCGTCATCGACAATCCGGGTGGTGGTCAGTTTTTGGGGGTAGAGAAGGATAAACAAGATTATCGAATTGCAGAATTTGAGCATTTATCCTATCTGCAAACGGGTCCCGGCTGCCTACTACTGGAGATGGATAGAGGCGTCAATGCTTGAAGGATGATGATGGAAGGTGGCTTGATTTAATGGCTTAGTTCGATCAATACGGTGCAGAAGAATGGCCAGAATCAAGGTCGTCCACTGAAATAAGGCATATACTGCCGGGTAATCATATCGGTAGAAATTCAGCGGATTTTAGACTCAATATTTCGCGAAGCGGTACAGTAACATATCAAACTGCGATCATCGAATTTAATTTCTTCCCAGCACTGCACAGTGGGCCGGATCAGCAATCGAGCTGGATAAAATTAATAACTTCTCGGGATGATGTCGTCATAGTTGCGCAGGTCTACTTCGTGGATGAACAATTTCAGTTCAATGGCTTAATTTTCAAGTGGTTCTGCATTGAATCTTTTGAACGAAACAGTCTAGAGACTTGGTTTCTTCGACAAATTTGGCTTACAACAAGGCTAACATATAACAGCATACAATCTAGTTTAATTTGTTTTCTCCGCAATTTACTTCTAGATAGAGCTGTAATTAGGGCGTAACAGCTTCTGCAAACAATGACTTCTCTCGATGATTTCTAGGAATTCATGGCACGCTCACGCAAACCAACATAACAGTCGGGTAGGGGAAGTCTTCGTTGATTTGCGGTGACCAGATGATTTCTAGAAAGTCAAGCCTTGACTTTCTAGAAATCATCGAAAGAAGTCATTGTTTACAAAAGCTGCTACGCTATAATTCCCACACTATCTATTTTTTGGCGTAGGACTACGTCTTTGATTTCTATATGGGGGTACACTTTGTGAAAACCCAAAAAGGAACATGTAATGAAATTATGAAAGATTTTGAACGTTAATAACTCAGCTGTTCCTGGACCAAGTTCAATAATTTTATCGCCACTCGATCAGAAATATTGCTATTTCGATAGTAATGGTTTCAACTGTTGATTTTCAACAAAAAAAATAGAAAAAATGGTAAATATCAATCATTATGCAAAAGCGTTGAAATAACTAACAAATCCACCAATTACGTACATGCAAATGCTGCTTACCCAACACAGTCATCAGAAAATCGTTGGCGATCTTCGGGCGCGTGCGAATAGGGAGGATGCAATTGCGTAACATTTTACACACTCATCGCCATATGCAGAACCACATAAAATGCCCTCCAGAGTAGTAATCTTATAACCAAACTTGGAAGCAGAAGGGGTGCAAGTGATTTTGATCGATTCTCTGCATCGTTAATAACTTGACGGCAAACACATTCATTGATACGTTTGTTGTTCTGTATGATAGAAGAGCATAGCAGAAATGGTGCGGTTATCAAAAGAGGAAATTGATGAAGAGAATTGACTTTCACCCCTCTGCTTCTAAGCCCCTGAATTAAGTCGTCGTCATTGCAATGAAAACTAGCATCGCACCGCTTTCGGTTCTTGGGTTAAACTTGCTGGTTGCAGTTGTGCTGTTCGACATTTTCCAAGGACTACCAAAAAACATGAAATTGCACTATTTTCTAGGGATGCCTAAAACTCCAATTACTCGATTAACGATCAATCTTAAAAAAATCGTTTGATTTAGCGCAGTAGAGAAAATAAATAAAAGTACTAATTTATCTGAACTATGACGTGAGACATGATCATAAATTCCTCGAAAAAATTGTTAAGCTTCTTTCTGCTAAAGGCTAAGATTTACCATTTTTTGAGAGAAGGAGTTTAACGAGAAAAACTTAAAAGGGGAGGAGCTTTAGCTGGGTGGACACTGATATTCTGCGACCAACCTGTCGCAGACACCAGTTCAACCCCTGTCCATCAGCAGACGGGCCGAGACTCTTGCGAGTGCCCAATAATTGAACCGAAGAATATGGGGTTGTCCGGTCCGATTTGCTGATCCAGCTGCCTACACGTCATCATCATCTTCCAAAGGCTTTAAGTCTATACTACCAACAATCAATACGAGACTATCGATTTCAAATTGGCTCACTACTTGACTAGGCTATTGTTCCCAAGCAAAACGATTAACGTAACCCATTCTAGTCGAAATTATAGTACTACACAATGTTTGTTTTGATTTGCTTTGAAAGTTGAACAAACAAAATGAAGGGTTCGTGGATTTTCCTATGTTTCGAGGGGTGCATCGATTTGCTTGGGACCGAAGAGAGTACCGGAGCTGAGCCAAAAAGTTGAGCATGTTTCTTCGGGACCTTCTAGTCTAAGAGCTACCTCTATGGTACTACCATCGACCCTTTCCAGGGTCACCAAGATTTTCTACAAGAGTAAAATGTGCCAACTAAAATTCATATCAAAAAGTTCTTTCAGGGCAATCATAGTCATACTAAAGAGTATAAACAAAGAGAACCCCGATCAAATTCCTATTCCTATAAAAAACTCAAGCTTCTGTTGCAGTTAACAAATAACAATTATTAAGTAAAATCACGTAGTCCTACGTCACCATTGCGTACAACCCCATAGGACTGTTCCTTGAAGTTTTTTTTTTCAAAATTGCCCCATAATAACCTAAATCTGATCTCAGCACTTTGTAGAACAAAGTTATTATTTTAACCGTAATTTAAGCACCATCAGAAGAGGTGTTTCAACTCGGTTGAAGACTATGTCAGAGTGGAACATTTGATGTTTGCACCATTTATGCTGATGAGTTCCGGATTATATTTTTATACCAATTTACATATGATCCTTATTTTAATAAGAAACTCTGTTGACCAAGTCCCGGAAATGCTTCGATTTGCAGTCATTCATTATGTACTACTAGATTTCAGTCTTGGCCCACTGTGCATTTGTAACGGCCATAAAGAACATGCTGATAAAAGGCAAAGGGACAAAAGGTCAATGGACCATAGGTCGAATTGACTAGAGGTCGAATGGCCAAAATGTCGAATGAAATTAAAAGAGACAACTGTTTAAATAGACAAAACGTTGAATGGACATAAGGTCGAATTACATTTGAAGGGACAGAAGGTCGAATGGACAAATCGTCGACTGGAGCGATCAACGGCTTTTATCTGCCAAAGAACTGATTATGTTAGAAAGAAGGAGTCCCGTTTCTACTTTTTGCTTGTCATTTCTAGTAACCCTATGAGCTTCTCAACAATCGTTAGTTTCGTATTGATTGTTGGTACAGATAAGTGGGGATCACATTAAAAAGTGTTTCGATTAAAAAAAAAGTAGAAGGGTCTGTGCATAAGGGCACGAAAGGAAGCTTGACGTAGGACCGCTAGTGGACGGAATAAATATGAAGAGCATTAAGTTCTTTTAATTGATCAAATATCTAATACCAAATTTGTAGTAATCTTTTTCAAAGAGAAAGTTGATAACGAGAATCAATCAAAATCACTTGCACCTCTGCTTCCAAGTTTGCGTGGTCTTTGGGGGTTTGTGGTTCTGAATATGGACAAACAAGCACAGATAAATTCTATTCCAACTCTTTACTGATGTAAGTTTGATGGCCCTGAAAAGGGCCGTTTTATTGAAGAGGACATCCATGGCCACTTACGTTTGGCGTGTTTAGTGTAGGTGACAGCATCACGGACCTCATTTTCAAGGAACACCTTCAGCACACCTCGTAGATCAGACCGGAGATACGCCAGACACCGCCACGGCGAGCCAGACGACGGATGGTGGTTATCTCGAAGAATTTGTGATGACTATTGGCACCTCCTTTGCCACGACCAGTCAATTGTTGCTTGTGGGTTATAGCAGAGTGGACTATCCACCACCTTACTACTGCTGCTATTGCTGACCACGCCGTCCGAAGCGAAAATGAGATGATACCAGACAGCAGCGCTGCTTTATATCTTTTCAGGTTAAAGCAGAATGATGTGCAACCAAGTGGTATAAAAGCTACAAAGACTCCTCCCATTATGAGTAGTTTGCTATCAAGTAGCGACACTGGCTATTTTCTTTAAGCGTACACGGCGAATGAGAACGAACCAA